CCTGCGGGCGCACAGCGTTCAAGAGCCTTTCATAAGGCGGGCTTCCTAACGTCTTTGTCTTCACTTCCTCTGCGAAGAATTTCTTCTGTCGCACTAATCTCACCGCATCTCCGTGCGAGTGGATGTCTCTGGGCCAATCGTGCGTGAGTACTATGCTCAACGGCGTACGAATATTCATCATCTTGAAAATCTATGAGGGAATGAAGGTACATAGTATAACAAGAGAGGGATCAGAGAGGTACATAGGTGCTACTAGATGTCGTACTGATATCCAACACCTTAAACATCGGTGTGAGAATGAAGGTATATAGCATAGCAAGCATCAAACTCGAGCAATATAGGCACGAATCGAAGACAATATCGTAGGGGTCAAGAATACTATACCCAACGACGTACGCATATCCACATCTCGATAATCTATGCGTAAATGGAGCTGCATGGTATACCAAGAATCGACACTCATGCAAGAAAAACCACGGATTGGGGAAGAGAGATGAGAAGAGCCCAAAAGTACTAAGCTTAACATCGCAGCCACAGTAAAATAAGAATAAACAGGAATGCCCTTGGCACCATATAAGAGGGTGTGGAAGATCGAATCTTTACAAGGATTCCTATTGGGGGTACATGATTGATGTCCCCAACGGATTTAACTGGCGGAGGCCACGTACAGACGACACTCCGTAAGGAGATCTATGCTTACCATATATTGATGGCTTATACGCCAGCATGCACAACTCCTGATAAACCGAAAAACACACACTGCCAAGCCAATGTATAAACGGCATACATCGAAATAAATAGAGCTTGACACCACTACACAAAATAGAATAGTACTACGCCAGAAAGAGAAAAAAATCGGGCAAGGTCCATGAAGTCAACTAAACGATAGTAAGGATTCGAGTGTACTCACCTCGATTTCTCGCGTGTGATATGTACTCCTCATTGTTCCGCTATCGTATGGAGGTTTTTCGTAGTGCCCTGTGAGAGTGAAGAGTTCTCGTGGTGAAAAATGGACAAAATAAAAGGCAGCTCGATTTTTTTTTCATATACAGATGTCTCTTGAGGATCACTTGGTCAACTAATTGTAAGATACAACTGAAGTCATTCACAACGGTAGGAATAAATTGAAGCGCACTAAATTTATAGCCACAGTTAGAGGTAAAGTAAAAACCCTACTACATCTCCATATGATGTACTGTAAGAGAACAGACTTTGCGACAGAAGTTAGTCACGACAACGTTGTAATGGGCGTACCTAATTTGTAGTGATTCTCCTTGTATATTCCGGAAACTCCGCCGATCCGCAGGCCCCGGTAGTTGACGACGCCAGCATAGCCCAGAAAGTATATGTTTGGAGCCGCCCAACCGCCGTGAAATCTACATGGGAATGCACGAACCGATGGATGAGATTAGGTACATATTCCACGAAAATGGCACCTAGGTGATGTCCAGATATCGCTTTGAATTGATGTGCCATTTGATATGCACCCTTCAGTTTTTGTGGCCAAGCATCACCAACCCCCAGTTCCCTGCAGTCGGATGTCTTCGAGAATTTGTCATCTCGTATGTAAGTAATAATTTATCATGCACCAGACGTTTTCTAGACTTACAATTCAAATAGATAATTAGAGGCCTCGTGGTTTCCGCCGATGAAGATTGTAAGCAAAGGAGCTTTTTTGTCGCCCTGATGATATTTGTAGAAGTCATGCATTGCTTTGAACTTCTGAGGCACAGCTATTGTGGCCAGGTCTGCTTGATTCCGACATGCCTGTGCGCAAAAAAAAAAAAATTTGAACTGTGCTCTCCTAGAAATCATCTACAGTAGGAAGTTTTCCGAGAAATAATACCGTACATCTCCGTACTTAAAAGCTTACAGCGAGTTTTACTATGGAAATAACAACAAGTAAATTCGATCGTATATTTACATCTGACTCATTAAAACAGATTTAACACACGAGTCAACCCCAACTTCGTACTCATCATGAGTCAAAACGGTAATTCGTATATAAAACAATTCACATTAAAAGATTGTGATATGCAGATGAACATATCAACCCTCAAGTACCTATAGAAACCATTCTCAGCACTTCAGGTTTAAATATACAAAATATATGTCCGTATATTT